AGATTTGTCCGAGATTGCAGTTTCATGCTGATTCGCCAATGGCGCTTGAAGACAAAAGGGGGCATTCGCTTGGCAAGTTGCTGGTGGTAGGCGCTGATGCTTTCCGGGAGGACTTCGCTGCACTTCGGCACCCTACAGAGATGAAGTTTGATCTTGGAGGCCAGCGGTTCACTGTCTATGCCATGGTGTGGAGCGATTGGCTTTACTCTTTCAGCCCGCCGGAAACCCTCCTCTCTCGCTGGGAGACAGCCAAAGCCGCACTATGCCAATCGGTGAAGCAGGAGGCCGGTGCAAACAGTGCAAACCCACCTTTAAGGTCAAGAGATTTTCTCCGGTGTTTGCCCTAGGAGTGTGAGAGAGAGAGAGAGGAGAGATAGAGAGAGAGAGAGAGAGCAAGCGAGGGAGGGAGGGAGGACAGGGAGGGCAGTTCTTATGGGCTGACCAGGTGTTTGGCGAGGCCAAGAATGGAGAGCGTGACGCGGCGGATCTCAAGTTACAGCTTGAAACGCTTCTGAGTAGACGAGGGTTGCAGCCAGATTCGGACCACTTGCTTGAATTCATACATGCCGCGGTGAAGGACGGGTTGTTATGAAAGGGAACACATTCTGTATTTCGGGAGGACTTTGCTCCACGCAATTCTAAAGACAGAGTCCAGTCTTTGCACTAGTCAAGTCAGGAGGAGATGCAGTCTGGTAAAATACAAACGCTTACTATGCGCACGGGCTTCATTGTACAACTTCGCAGGAGCTCCAAGGGGAATTGCAGTGGAAGCGGTTGGATGAGGAGTGCTTGCGCATATGCAAGCAGTTGGCGGATGATTGTCAAGTTCCCTGGAATGGTTGCGAGCTGCCAAGTCAGGTGGGAATCATACAGGAGTAGCAACTCAGGATAGCTCTTGCCATAGCAAGAAAATCAACTCATGTAGACATTATATCGAGCTCCTCTTTGGAAATCAGCGAATTTGACATAGCAGCCCCTTGCGACAGGCCCGACAACAATTTGACAGAGGGTGCTCGGACGACTACGCATTGAAGCTTTGCATTCGCCGAGTGACTCGGTCTAGTAGGAATGGTTCCCCCGTTTGGCATCTTGGTTCACGAACCAAGCAAATCTTGGCCTTGCCCTCGGCAAATCTGAAGTCTACTCTATACTTTAAACATGTCGACGAATTCTTCTCCATGCTCACATGAAGTGCATGACCGAAACCTCAAAAAAAAAGAGCTTTCTCGCCGAGCATCAAAGCCTTTACCTGCACCATTTTTCAACGCAAAGCTACCTATATGATGTCTATATGCGCAAAACGCATCTCTCATATCGTTTGTGCGAACTTTGCCCCTTGACCACTGAGGTGGCTGATGACATCATGGCTGCTGTGGTCAAGGCGGATGAGGGCCAGTTAAAGAGCATTTTGGCTCTGGAAGTCAGCTTCAATGAGACGTTACGCTACTTTCAAGAACAGGTGGGGTAGGATTTGTGGGCCAATCCACGCCATCCCCCACGGAGGGGTGCGCCATGTCTTGTTGTTCTCAGGTGAAGGCTACAGCGGAGAAGCGGCTCAATCAGCTTCATGTCAAGTCCAAGTTCAAGTTGCTCGCAGAACTCTTTGACTTGGCCGAAGAGGACAAGCAAAAGTTCGTCGATCAGGCCGTCCAAAATGGCTTGGATGAGCGTGCATTGGTTGATCTCCTGTACCAATACCGCAGTCGGCGCTTTGTGCCACAAATCTTTTTGGACGAGCTTCCAGACACGGATGAAGCAAAATTCGCACGCGGAACAGTGCCACGAATCTGTGAGCTCTTTGGACAGTTGCGGGAATGCAAGATTCCCATGCACTTGAGCAATAACTTCACTCAAAACGCCCAGAATGCTGTTGTTATATCATGCCGTGAAGAGAACGGACACTACCTGTTTTTGCTTCACCAAGCAGAGCATGTGGTACTTCAGCTTCTTCGCACAATGCCCGTTGGCTGTGAGATTGTGCAGCAGCTCCCAGTCTTCTTGAGAACGCTCTCCCTACCAACCAGCGAGGCATACAGGAAGCTTGATCAGTTTCGGGTTCTGGGGCTTCATGTGAGAGACATCCGACAAGTCAAGGAATACGTCGAGATAGAGATCACCTTGTGGCATGAACTCCTACACAAGCTGCACCTTCCGGAGTTTCAAATTCGCCACATGAAGCTTGTGTCGAAGTGCTGCAGCGGCCTGGAGGAGGGTGCCTTTCCAGTCTCTTTGCGTGAGACTGTCTTCTACGCGGAGTCCTTCGAGCACGATCTGGTGAAGCTGCCTGGAGGATTTGCTGAACACGCCGTCCCCTTGCTTCCAAATTTGTATGCTCCTCCACCAACGATCCCCAGCGGGAGCGACGTCACATTCCTGAGCGCTTGCTTCAGTCATTTGAACAACGTTGGCGTCTCATTTTGTGTGACAAGTGACGAAAACTCCCGGTTGAACGCTGGAGTAGGAATTATGAGAGGTCCATGAAGTTTTAAACTGTTTAAACATCATCTTGTTTTGCGTTGGTGAACACGTCAGACAGATACACTTCGTGCATACTTGTCAAGAGCGCCCTGTCTATGGACTTCCCTCATTGCCCGCAAGCCTCGTTGTTTGGGTCGTCTGGGTTGCGCAGTCGCTAGTTTGAGTGCCTCTTCAATGTTATGAGTTATGAGTTATGACTCCTATTTGTCTCCAAGTTTTGATTGTCCTTGGACCACCAGTCTGCTGGTTCTGTTGTACCATCAGTTGGCTTGTTGTTCCACCATGAACGACCCGTGTCGGCTCCGCATCGAGGTCCGCATTGAGGTCTGCCCACAGAAAGGTTTGATCTGCAAACAAGCCTTAGAGGTGAGTTGGAATTCATCAACTTTGAGTAGTTGCTGTAAACGCGTCTTGGCAAAAGCTTGTCTGCCAGAAGCTGGAGTATGTTGTGAACATTGATCTGCAGTCTTTTATTCTGAGCTTGATTAGCCCGTTTTGCGCATTGATGTTGCGGGTGTGGCTGGCTTTTTCTTCGTCTCTTCTCTGCCTCCCTGCCATCGTGCCTCTTTCTTCTTGTGTTTGCTTCTGGTTCGTGCCTTGCGCTGCAGCTGCGTGACCTTTTTTGGGGCATGTGGCCATCAAGCTTAGGCTTGTCAGGTCAGTGATGGTGATTCTGCTTGTGAGTCTGGCACATTCCATGTTTACTGTGGGCCAAGCTCTCCCAGGTTGACTTGGAGACTCTCAGGGGCAAGACATGGAGCCCAGAAGGTTGCAAGGAGCTCTTTGCTTTGTGCCAAGGGATTCGCAACGATGAGCATTCGATTCGAGTGATGGTGTCAACCTTAGTCGTCGATGTTGGGTTGAAAACCAAAATCACCATGTCGTTTTGATTTTCACAGTCTTGTTAGGTAATGGCGCACACGCGCATCATTTGTGAGAGCAATCGCTACACGTTCAATGGCAACACTGTTGAACTTCCTCCTCCCACTTCCTATGTGTCGACGGGGCGAAGTGACTCTGGCCCTCGATTGAAGAGCACCGAACTCACTGTGACCAACTTGGATACCTTGACAGCAGCTGAGAAGACTCGTCAGGCCTTCAAACATGGGCGGATCCTAGTCTTGAATATGGCCAACCGACACAGTCCGGGAGGCCTGAATGCTTGTGAAACACTTAAAACTACGCCAGCATAGACCCATATACATTTACAGCTGAATCTACATATACATACACACTTTATCACATTTTACATTTCACGTTATACATACTGTATACGTTACGTTATTATACAGTGTACGTAGCCATATGCAGATGTAATTTTCGGGTGTTTTGCAAACTTGCAGCGACGCCTGGCAGGAGGCTATCGAAAGGGCAGTCGTGCTCAGGAGGAGGACTTATTTCGACGCACCACGCTCAGCAATGGTCTTGTCCAAGAGTATGGTGCTTCAGTGTCCTATCCCATGGAAGAGTTTGCCCCGATCATCTCTTGCGATGTTTTGGCTTTCCGCGGCTCTGAGCAAGAAGGCCGTGGATATTGTGGGGTATGCGAGGGTGTTTGAGGTGGTTCTCCGATGTAGCGCCTGGATTGGTCTCATCGATCCAGCGTTGGCATAAGATTTGCAATCTTAACGTATCACCTCATGATGAATTGAAGTCTCTTGGGAATCGGGAACCCTCGTTGTTGTTCTTATTTTGCCATGAACTTGACATCAGGGTCGAGTCGTGCGTGTGCGCGTGCCAGCTCCAGGCTACCCACTTCGACCTGACCCTGTCCGAATTGACGTGTTGTCCGTTGCTGCATACAATGGCAGCAGACGCGGCGGTCAAGAGGAGTCTTTCCATGTCCTTGAGAAAGGAGGCACGCTTGCCTGGCACGCCAGAGAGCAGAGAAACCCGGGTAGTGAACCACATCATTGCAGTGAGAATTGGGAGTATCCGATTTCCATTTTTCTGGGACTGGCTAACCATTTCCTTACTTGCGAAAATTGCGATAGAATGCCCTGTGATACCCTGCAGGAGATGTCTTCAGCGAAGAAGGCTTCGTTCGAACGCTGCGGAACATTGCCGGCTTACTCGAAGCAGCTGCCGTACACGGGGCAGATCACCTGATTCTTGGTGCTTTGGGATGTGGAGCCTTCGGCAACAACCCCAAGCAGGCCAGCCTTTGTTTCTCCGTCCTTTCTCCGTTCGTTGTGCGCGTCGTGCTCCATCGTGATTGCAAGGTGCCTGCCCAGAAAATGCCCTGCGTGTGACTCGAAAAGATAAGTTCACAGCAGCCTGAAACCTTGTGGTCTTGGATCGTCTTTGGCTGCTGAGGAAGTTCTTCGCCCACATGGTTGTTGTTTGTGTGTCACGCACCCTGAGCCTCCTTTTCAAGTCCGTTGCCTCCTGCTGGGTTGTGGTGTGGAGGGCAGCGTCCGTTCCTTGGGCCGTGCTGTGGTTGGATGTCTCTCTCTCTCTCTCTTTCTTTGGATGGCTCCATGTTCCCCCCTGTATGTCCCCAGTGTGCGCTTTGAGTTCCTCACGGCCTGGCCACTCTTTATGCGGCCCAAGTCTTCACATGTGTCTCCCAGCCCTTTTCCACCCCTCTGGCCCCTCTGGATGAACAATTCAGTTTGGAAAGGCTTTCCGTCTCCTGGCCGCGGTTGTCTTGAGGGCCTCGCTTTGTTTGGCGCTGGATAGTTCTGTTGTGTGGTGGCATGGATCGCGTGTCCTGGACTTTTCCAAATCGTTACGCGTGCCTGCAAACCGGGGAACAATAAAAAGTCTTTACTTATGTCGTCGGTCCGGCTGGCTACTCGGTCAGAATGGTTGAGTTCAAGTCCTAAGTGCTTTCGAGCCCTTGCAGCGCAATGCAGGTTGCAGGCATTTTCAAGACGTTGCTGCCTGCTTTCGCTGGACACTTCAAAACAGTGGACTTTGCAATTTTGGAAGGCGGTGATGGAGATAGCAATTACAGCGTTTTCCGCAGTGTCCTTCTGGACGGTGCTCAGAAAGTACACTTGCAGAGCGTGTCCAAGTCAGGCTTCCGGAAGATGCTGACTTGTCAGAAGCTGTGTCCCAAACTGGGACGGTGCGAAGATGTGAGTTCAGAGAGCCACCTGCAAGAGTTTTGGCACCCCGACATGTGCCCCAAAGCAGATTGCGCTGAAGCTGGAGATCATTGTGCTCTCTGGCGCCATCAACAATTCTGTCCAGAGCAGAATTGCAAGGTGGTCTTCGGCCCAAAAAGAACGAGGACGTACAACCGTCATTGTGAGCTCTATAAGCACAGGAAGCTTTGCAGCTTGGAGAACTGCCAGGATTCCAGTCACACACACCCTCCCTCGTGCCCCCATGGCGTTCGGTGCAGGTACAAGGGCCAGAATCATCCGGATGGCATTTTCTATTCTCACAGGATGCGTCCTTGTCCAGATGGGACTGTTTGCAGCAAGTGGAATGATGCAGATCATCGCATGTCTTTTTCTCACGTTTTCAACCCGCCCTGCCGCGACCCAATGCATTGTGAGTTGTTGAGCCAGGGGCGCACTGAAGACCCACATTTTCACGCCTCTTCGCATTTGTGCCCTTTCGGAAGCAGCTGTCGCAAGCCACTCGTCTCGATATTTTGCAGGGGGTTGCGAAGTCTTTCAGGGTAGTTGTTAAAATAGTGCGCTACCCCGAAACATAGTACACAAAAAAAAGGGCCATTTTGGCAGTGCGTTGGTCTAACCCGTGTCTGTGTGACTTTCCCACGGTGCCAGGATTGGAGACTCGGAGCACCAGAAAGGATGGATCCATCTTGATCGACCAAGCTGCCCAGAGGGAGCTGCTTGCGCTAGAGACAAGCAGATTCACTTCGAGGATCTGGCGCTTCAGGGAACCCAAAAACATTTTATATAAAATCTTTAAGGTCTTTTCATAGACGGTCAAAGTCGCGCTAGAATGTGCAATCAGTGCTCACTTTGCTGCGCGCTTTTTTATTTGCGAACACGGATCAAAGCTCTTCTTGTCAGGACCACTTGCAGCTATTTCAACACCCTAATGTGAAGCTCATCCGCGATCCTTGCCGAAGGGGCCGCGCCTGTCGTCAGTTAGGATGCCGAGATCACAGGAGCAGCTACAAACACGATGATGCTGATGGCGTTCTTTGCGCAGCCGGTGTTTGGGGACACAACACCTCAAGAAATCTCATGGAGGAGAATCAGGCGAGCTATGAGGTGCACTTCCATCAAAATGCAAAGAATTTGATCAAGAAGATCAATGGCTATTTCAAGTCTGAGGCAAACAAAGAGGAACTGAGTGCAACCGCCGAGTTCTGGCGGCGCTGTCGAGTCGTACATCGCTTGCCCTACACTTCCTTCTCAAGAGTTTTGAAGACAGGCTGGCTGTGGGCAGAATGTTTGACGCAGGGAGTGTTGCAAGCGTAGTAAAGCTCCTGTTTCTTGTTTTAGTCGGGTGCAGCATGTGTGGTCCAAATCAAGATGATCATGAACTGCTTTCTGTGACTTGGCTTCGCCACAGGTTTCGTAGCATCGCAGCATTGCCTCCAAACGCATGCCTTGGACCCTGAAATTGCTTGCCATTTGCCATCAGTGCAGGATCTGGTTCAGGATCCAGCCAAGGGACGGAGTGACGCGGGCGTTCCAAACTTGCAAGAGTTTGTAGATGCCTTTTTGCGCCGTGATCAGGTGCAGCGAGAATCACAACTCTTCCAAGCCCCGCGAGTTCAGGTGCAGGTCGCCCAGAATGCACTGGGTGGCTTCCATGCTCGTCAGCAGCAAGCGGAACTACATCTCCAGCACAGCCGAGCTCGAGCTGCGAGGGTTCTGGGCAAGCGCGCAATTGACAGGGTGGAGGCCGACCTGGTAAACTATTCAAGTGCCATGAAGGAGTTGAAGCTTGCCAGCGAACAAGCAGCTCAAAAGGGGCAAAATGTCCTCAGCGGGATTGGTCATGAGTACGATCGGGTGGTTGAGACCAACAAAATGGTCTTTGGGATTTTGGGAATCCATACTTTGAACTATGGAGAGGACAAGGATGGGGATGAACATGATCAAGGAGTTCATTTGATCTTCAAGCCGGAGTCCCTGCACCATCCGGACGTCTTTGTCACACCAATGGCAGCCACCTTCTACAACTCGGGGCGAGGGGATGATGAACGCCCTTGGTGGAAGAAAGGCAAGCCTTCAGCACCGTTTGAAGCCATGGCATGGGAGAAGCTCCACCCAAGCTCTCCTGTCTTCCATGAAGCCTTAGCCACTGAGTTCTTGGCCCGGGCGGCGCACAAGGGAGGTGGAGACTTAGCTAGGGTCAAGTTCACGGATGTGAAGGACTACATCAAAGGGACCAATGCTCATTTCAGTGCCGAGTGTCACCTTCCCTATGTCACCCCCCTTGGCTTGGGTTGAGAAAGTGGTTGTCTCAGAGCATACCTTCAAGAAACTCTCTGA